ACCCCATGTGTAGAGAGTAGAACTATGCTCAATAGAGCTTTCAAAGCTGTGACCTTCTGGAAGGAGATCACCAGCCCTATTTTCCAAGGCACCTCTGGGTGAGTTTGAACTGCCAACCTTTCAGCTAGTAGTCAAGCACTTAACCTTTTGTGTCATATCTGAAATGCAAATTTAACTGGGCATCCTGAGTTGATTTGGCACCTAGGGGTGGGGGGTAAAGAAAACACTAACCAGAAGCAGAACTAAGGTATGGCAGGTAGGGCACATGCCCTGGGTGCCGCTTGAGGGGCACTAACGAGCAGTTTCTATTGGCCATTGCGGTTTCCACTGTCAGCTGTGAGATCATTCAGCAATTTAAAGCCAATTGCCATAGGCACTGTTTTTCATGGATATCAACCAAACCAAACCCACTGCCACTGAGTTGGTTTGGTTTGCGATCTACAGGACAGAGTAGAACTGCCTCACAGGGTTTGCAAGGAGTGGCTGGTAGATTCGAACTGCCAACCTTTTGGTTAGCAGCCAATCTCTTAACCACTGCTCCACCAGGGCTCCATAGATAGTCCCCTGCTAATGCTGGGTCCCACCCCCAGATATTCTGGCTTAGTTGAGCTGGAGTGCTGCCTGGGTGGTGAGATTTTTCAAAGCTCCCAGGTGATTTTACTCTGCGTAAGTTAACAGCAGGAACCCCTGCTGAGAATTTGCATTTCTAACAAGTTCCTGGGAAGCTATAGGTAAGAATCACCTGTGGACATTGTTAAACTGTAGATTCTGATTCAGTGTATCTGGGGTGGAAATGCAAATTCTCAGCGGGGGTTCGAACCTGAATGAAACGGGTTTGAAGCCCTGGACTTAACAGTCCTAGCTGCTCTCAGCCCTCACTCTCATGCCTATTCACAGGAGGGTGACAGAGTTATCCAACTGGTGAATCTGGGAGAAGGGATAGGGCATGTGTGTTTCTGCCTCTCTTCTCTCCTCTTTTTGAGGTCGGCCTACAGGGTCAGGAGGGTGCATTCTGGTGAGGAGCAAGTGAGCTTTGTTCTTGGGGGTTGGCCTGCAGACCAGGGAGAGAGTTCATTACGGGAGAGGGGAGCAGCATCCTAGCAAAACCAAGGTCACCATGAGTGGGAATCGACTCGATGGCAATGGGTTTAAGCACAATCTCCAAGTAGCTTTGTTAGTTATCACCAGTTGCTGTCAAGTCAACTCTGACTCAAGGTGACCCCATGTGTGTCAGAGCAGAAATTGTGCTCCATAGGATTTTCAATGGCTGATATTTTGGAAGTCAATCACCAGCCCTTTCTTCTGAGGTGCTTCTAGGTGAATTCAAACCTCCAACCTTTCAGTTAGTAGCCGAGTGCACTAATCATTTGCACCACCCAGGGACTTCTTAGCTATAAAGGTGGTACTTTCACCTTCATTTCCCTCAGTAGGGAAGAGAAGCTTGTTCAGTATTGAGCCCCTAAAGCCCCAACATCTGCTATTTCTCTCCTCCTCCCTGGCTTGGCTAATCCATTCACATTTTTCTGTGTCTCAGGTCCAAGATCCTTTCCTCAAAGAAGCCTTCCCCAGACTAAGGCAGGTCCCCTGGCTGTAAGCATTCATAAAACCCTCTGAATTTTTTTCTTTCTGGCTCATATCAAAATTGTCATTAACTAAATCAGGGCTTCTCAACCTCAGCACTATTGACATTTGGGGCCAGGTCATTCTTTGTCACGAAGGCCCACACTATGCACTGAAGGATGTTTAGCAGCATCCCTGGCCTCTACCCACTAATGCCAGTAGCAACCCGCTCCCCCAGTTGTGACAACCAAAAATTGTCTCCAGATGTTGCCAACTGTCCCCTGGGGAGGCAAAATCACCTCTGGTTGGGAACTACCCAATGAAATAATTGTTTTCAGGCTGGCTTCATGGATATACGACCTAAACAGTCACACAGGGCCCCATGCTTGGTTTAACGATCTGCTGTCACCATCTTGGAAGTCTTAATAGTCTTTGAATGAGGGGCCCACAAATTATGTGGCTGGTCCTGATTGTGTGCCTTGTTTTTCCATGCTTCTCAGCTGTTACCACCTGGGCCGTGGGAGGGCAGAGTGTCCGTCTTATTCACTGCCGTATCCCCAGTGCTGGCACATAGGAGGTGCTCAAAAATACTAGCAGAAGCAGGAAGAGAGCAAGAGAGAGAAGCTGAATGTAGGTCCCGCGGCTCACCCCCAGCTCTGAGGAACAGAGGGAAGAATAACCTCGGTCAATGGAGTAAGCTGTTCCATTCAGTAGCTAAGCCTTCCTTCCCAAGGCTGCAGAAACATTGTCCCAAGCTCCTCATGCGTGTCGAGTATGCCCTGTGTGATCTGTGAGTCTTTCACGTGGCCTTCCATATGCCGTGTCAGCTGGACCGAGCAGTAATCCCCAGATGTAATAAGGCTGGAGGGAGAGTCTTCACAATGAATTTCCGAGCACTACCCATTCAAGAGGAGCCCTGGTGGTGCAGTGGTTAAGTGCTTGGCCGCTAACTGAAAGGTCTGCGGTTCAAGCCCACCAGCCGTTCCGTGGGAGAAAGACGTGGTGGTCTGCTTCCGTAAAGATCACAGTCTTCGAAACCTTATGGGGTAATTCTCCTCTGTCCTATAGGGAGATATGAGTCAGAATCAACTTGATAGCAACGGGTTTTTCTTTTTCTTTTGTTACCCATTCAAGGCAGTCCTTCACTTTGCGTTCATCCTGGGCATTTTGGCTTGTCCTCCAGCTCTGAAGTCTGAACGTCCAGGTTGCAATTCTCATAGTAGGATGAACCAAGGACGGCATGTCCTAGCTAGCCAAGTATAACTGGCACCAGAAAATGGCCATTTATCATAAATCCACTGAAAATGGGAATTGAAATTTCAAAGCAAATAGCTGTTGTTGTTGTTAGCTGCCATCAAGTCAGCCCCTGACGCAGCACAGTGGGATGGGACTGTTGTGATCCATATCTGTTGGCTGATTTTCAGAAGAAGATCGATCACCAGGCCTTTCTTCCTAGTTAGCATCATAGCAGCACACAAGCCTCCACTGACAGAAGGGTGGTGGCTGCACGTGAGGTACATTGGCCAGGAATCGAACCCAGGGCTCCCACCTGGAAAGCAAGAATTCTACCACTGAACCACCAATGCTCCCAAAGTAAATAGCAGAAGGGAAAAAAGTTTGGGACTTTATCCTGAAAAACGAAACAAAAATTTATTTTAAAAATAAGCATATTCATGTTCACAGCAGGCTTATTCATAATAGACAAAAACTGGAAACCACCCAGAGGTCTTTCAATGGGTGAACTGTTACGCTGTGGTACATCTGTACCATGGAATACCCACCCACCCATTGCCAGCAAATCTATTCCAACTCATAGCAACTGGGTAGGACAGAGTAGAACTGCCCCCACAGGGTTTCCAAGGCTGTAATCTCTACAGGGGAGCCATGGTGGTGCAGTGGTTAAGAGTTGTGCCTGCTAACCAAAAGGTCAGCAGTTTGAATCCACCAGCCATTCCTTGGAAACCCTATGGGGCAGTTATATTCTGTCCTATAGGGTCGCTATGAGTCGGAATTGACTCTTTGGCAATGGGTTTGGAATCTTTATGGAAACAGACTGCCACATGTTTCTCCAGCAGAGTGGCTGGTGGGTTACTATTCAGCATTTAAAAGAACAAACTATTGATACACACAACGACTTGGATGTACCTCGAGGGAATTATGCTGTGAAAAAAGCCAGTCTCTAAAGGTTTCATATGGTATGATTCCATTTATGTAACATTCTTGAAATAACAAAATTGTTAGTGGTCACCAGGGTTAGGGATGGGGAAGGGGTGGTGAGGCTATAAAGGGGTAGCATAAGCATTGTGGTGACAGAACAGTTTTGTTTTTTCACTGTGGTAGCAGTTACACAAATCTACACGTGGTAAAACTGCACAGAACTACACACGTGTGAGTGTGGGTGCATGCATGCACACACACACGAGTGCATGTATATCTGGTGAGATCTGAACAAGCTCTATGGACTACAGCAATGTCACAGTCCTGGTTTTGATATTGTAGCATAACTACGCACAATGTTACCATTGGTGGGAACTGGGTCACGAGTACATGCACCTTTCTACACATTTTTTTTTTTACAACTTCCTGTGACTCTATAATTATTTTAAAATAAAGTTTTTTAAAATGAGTTTATTTAGCTCTCTTCCTCCACGCTGCCATCTCCTACCTGGCAATGACCACACCTTCTACCCAAATCTTGGTCTCTAATACCATTCCCCACTGAAAGGGCTCATCAGAGAAATGGCTGGTTCTAGGGCTGAGACACGCAGGTTCCAGATGAACCTGGAACATCCTCTTATGCCAGAGAGTAAGAAAGTTGCGGTGTAATGGATCACTTTTGTGTGGCCTTTCTAACCAAGTGATTGGGTGGGACTGTAGAAATAATTGTGACCTACCAAGGGGATTGGTCAGTTTTGCAATCCCTCTGGGCTTGAAATGAGCCATCCCAGAGGCAGGAAGAAGATACCACCACCACCAAGGAAGAACAAGCAGGAGACAGCACATCCTTTGGACTCGAGATCTCTGTGCTGAGAAGCTCCTGGAACCAGGAGACAGAGAGAGACAGCTGTTAACACTGAAGGCAAGAAGCGGCAGCAAAGACCCAGCAGCAGGAGGCAGCATGATGGGCTTCCCCACCCATGGAGATAGCTGAGTGCCTTTGAGCTAGAGGCCGAGATCCAAGGAGAGGCATGCCTGTGAGCACGGCTGGGAAGAGGCTGTCCTGATGGAAGAACTGTATTCTGAGTGTTCCTGAGCCTGAATTGTAACTGTTACTTACCTAATAAACCCCATAATCGTGAGTATGGTCCGTGAGTTGTGTGTGGCCATTGCAATGAATTATTGAACCCAGCAGAGAAGTAGAGTGCTGTGGGAGGGATGGTTGGTGTCAGAATCGGTAAAGATGGCAGAGAGATGAGGCAGGTCTGATCTCCACCTCATAGTAATCAGCCCTGGCTGTTGATCTTGGTTCTCCTTTCCCCTTGTGAAGTTAAGAGGTCAGACACCGCCCCCATGCCATTTTTACAAACATGTTCCCCCAAAATGACGGTGGCATGTCGCAAGGACATAGAAGTCATCTTGAAGGGCCCTCCACTAGCTAGAACTGGCGCAATTTGAGCACCAGTTAATGACACACAGTAATGAGCTATAAACTATCGCTGAAAGAGAAAAGCATGAATCCACACTGATAATACAGACTTAATTGATTTATTGCTTAACTAATAAGGGAAAGAGAAGTATCTTGCTTATAGTAGAATGCCAAGGGCAGATTGGAAAATGGGGAGAGAGGGCAAATGGTAAACATTAAAGGGGCAAGAATCATCAATGGATGCTAAATCTAGGAAAGGAGTTTGATGAGGAGCAGGACATTTTCAGGGTCTTAAAGGATTTCCCCATCTGCTGCTTGCACCCTTAGATGTGACACAGTGAGAAGAACACCTCACCTCTGCAGGGCTCTGGCCTGGATGCTTCACTTCACTCTAATAACTATCACAAAATAAACACAAAATGAGGGACGTTCATCTTCAAAGGGGTAGAGTAGAACTGCCCCGTGAGGGTTCCAAGGAGCAGCTAGTGGATTCGAACTGCTGACCTTTTCGTTAGCGGCCGAGTTCTTAACCACTATGCCACCACGGCTCCACGAGCTAAGAATAAACAGTATTTTTTTAAAAACTGAAAAAGTTTTTAAGCATATAAACACTGCTCAAACTTACTCAAAAAATTCAGATTAACAATGAGTTGGTTTTTTGTTTTGTTTTTTTTTAAATTGTCAGATTAGCAAAGATCAAAATGTTAGAAGAATATGCTGGCAAAGGTGTTTGGAAATGGCCATTCGTAAGCATGTCGATAAACATTAATACATTCGCTCTGAAAGGGAATTTGTCACTGCCTATTCAAAATGAAAACAAGAGGGTTCTCAGAAACAGTATAACTCATCAGTAATAAAAGTCATCCAATACATTCCCATCAAAAAGCTCCTCTTAAAAAAGGATCTCATGTATTTACAGATATTGTAGAATCCCAGCCTCTTCCTCACATCATTCAAAAATGTAAATAATTATATCTTTTAGGTAATCTACATCTTTCAGAAGTCAGCCTACACCTGCCATCTCAGTACAGCGGAAATGTCTCATCAATTTTGGCAGCCCACGCCATTAGGCCCCCCATAACGTCCTGAACTGTTACAGAGTCTAACTCTTGGGCTGCTGTTAAGGACTGCAGGATCTTCACAGCCTTCTGGGAGTCATTTCCCAGTTTGCAAATCACATAAACAGGGAGAGCTGCCCCTTCCTGTGTGCCCTGCTTCCGCTCCCGGACTGCTTCTCCTAAGAGCTTCAGGCTCTCCGCATCCCTCTGTTCCAAATGTTTCAAGGGGATGTGTAAGGCATGAGGCAAACGACAGATGTCCACCTCCACTTGAGGCCTGACATCCAGCAACAGATGAGATGCCCCAGAATCCAGAAGTCGTTTATAGTCGGTGACAGAAACTCGCTCTTTTGGGCTCAGCAAATGCAAGGAGCGACACTTATCAGTGGCTGAGGAGCCACAGAAGGCTTCGTAGTCCTGCAGGTCAGTTACTGTGGGCCGCTCCCCGCAAACTGCACAGTCGGGTCTCCGCTTCCGCAGCTGAATGCAGCGGAAATGCCCTCTGAGGGCATCAAAGAGCAACAGGCTGCCACTGTAAGAGGGGCCCAGACCTGCAGCGATCTTCAGCACTTCCAGCGCCTGCAGGCAGCCCAACACCCCGGTTACGACACCGAGCACCCCGCCATCCGCGCAGTTGGTCACTGTCTCCGCTGGGGGTGGCTGGGGAAAGACACAGCGATAGCAAGGCCCGCCATCATAGTGGTAGACTGTAATTTGGCCCTCGAAGCGCAGGGCGCTGGCCGACACGAGAGGCCGGCCCGCCAACACACATGCGTCGTTAACCAGGTAGCGAGTAGGCACGTTGTCCGAGCAGTCGGCCACCACGTCATAGCGGCGGACCAGGTCTAACGCGGTGGCTGGTGTAAGTGCCTGAGCGTAGGGGACGCACTCCACGGCCGAGTTGAGGCGGCGCAGCGAGGCGGCCGCCGACAAGGCCTTGGCCCGCCCAGCCAGTGCCTCATCATGCAGCACTTGGCGGGCCAAGTTGCTCATCTCTATCACGTCGTAGTCCACCAGGCCAATGCGGCCCACGCCAGCCGCTGCTAGATACTGCGCCAGTGGGCAGCCGAGCCCACCACAGCCTACGACCAGCACTGACGCGGTCGCCAGGCGCAGCTGTCCGTGCACGCCCAATTCAGGCAGCACGAGCTGCCGGCTGTAACGCAGAATCTCGTCTCGGGACAGTGCGGCCTTCGGCGGAAGCGGTGACACCGGAACCAGCCGTTCTGGCTCAGATTCCTCCTCCGCCAAAAGAGCCGCCGCCAACCTCTGCTTCAGGGAACTCAGCTCCTCCTCACGCTGGGTAACTTCAGCCCTCAAAGCGAGTACCTCCTCGTTAGCAGCCATGGCTGTCTCTTCCGGAAGTTGTCGTGAAAGTCATTTCCGTTTCCGGCTTGCCGTCTCCTAGCGACTGGAATAAACTAAAATACTTTATGGAGCTTGCAAAATGACGATGAATATACATTTTTTGAAATAACCTAATATTTTACTTTAAATATTAATGATCCTTACCGCTTCCACTGGTATTATACAGAGAGCCTTAGAAGAGCGAGACCATTCCCCTCTTCTAGTATTTGGTACAGCCCGACGCGTCCTCTTCCCGCACCGCGTTTACGTCATTCCGCTTCCGACATTTCGCGCAGTTCCGTCATGGCCTCTACCGAAGCGAGCCGTAGCCTTCCCAAGTCTCGCCGGGATCCCGAGGGGCGAGCCTTGCGGCAGGACAAGTTTTCAGTGCTTTTACCCACCTACAACGAGCGCGAAAACCTGCCGCTCATCGTGTGGCTGCTGGTGAAAAGCTTCACTGAGAGGTAGCGCTCCCGGCCGCCCGCCCCGAGATGAGCTGAGCTGTGTGTCAGCTGTTGGCTGCGCGAGGCGGTCCTGCTCGGCCTCTCCTCGGTTCGTGCAGGAAGCCTCGGGGAGGAAAATAGGCGGATACATTTCTTGTTCTCTCCGTGCCCCCTGTCTCATATTTGCCCTGGGGTTTTGTGAGATACTCCTTTATTATAAACGGTCTCTCCTTATCCCCCGCCGTCGTTTTTTTTTTTTTTTTCTTTCTTCCCCTTAAATAAGCCGCCCATTCTTTAACTTGGGAGCAAAGCTGAAAGCCGGACCTCACTCCTCCCTCTAGGCCGTCAAATCTGCGGCCGGAATCTATACGAGGGCGCTCACTCCCCGCCTGGTGCTGAGCGCTTATGTAAGAATGAGGTTTGGTCTGTGTGGGTTGGGGAGGTGCTGCTGGGCAGGATAACCTTTCTGGAAAGGAGAGAACAGAATGGCTTTTGCGCACATCATATTACCTACATTGTGGGTGTTTGGTGTGGTTGATAGAAACTGGAGGGGCGTGGGGAGGTGTTGGAATTTGGGTTTGTAAGGTTATACAATTTTTAGAAAACTTTGGAAAATCCTTTATCAATACGAAGTAACTTGTTTTAAGGTTACACAAGTACGATCATGCAGTCTTTCCATATCAGCACATACAAACAGCAAATTAATTTGAAGGTTGGGTGATATTCCATATGGCTGTGTTATTAACTGGGTCATGTCAGTGAACACATTATTTCTGGAGTTTTTTGTTTATTTTGGGGGGAGGGGGTTTGCATTTCAAATAAGAACAGGGACTTTTTTCATACCTTATTTCCAGCATATAGAAAAGTGCTTGATACATAGTACTCCTTTACTAAAATGAATCTTGCAACAAACACACTCATGGTTTTGCTAGTATACCAAAAAGAAACAAACCCAACTCATAGTGACCCCGTAGGATTTCCAAGACTAAATCTTTACGGAAGCCAACTGCCACAGTTCATCTTTCTCCCTCGGAGTGGCTTGTGGTTTTGAACCACCGACCTTTCGGTTAGCAGTCAAGTGCTTTAACCACTGCGCCAGCAGGGCTCTTTTTTGCTCATATACCAAGGATAAAGTCCTTGCGGTGGATTTGCAGGGTCAACAGAGATGTGCTTAAAAGTGATAGTTACTGCCAAATTGCTGTCAAAAAAGCTCGTCCCGCTTTCCGACTCTCCAGCTGTCTTTTTAAGACAGTGTGTGTTTCCCCACCAAGCAGCCAATCTGAGCATTACTAAACTTACATTTTTGGAAATAACTAATTGGCGAGAAATATTGCTATTTTAATTTGCATTTCTTTGAGATAACTGTCTTCACATACATGACCCCTCAAAGTTTTCTTTTTAGTCATATAATTTCCATCTTTTTCTGTTTAGTTGTTTACCTTTTTCTTTTGTTTTCTACAAGCTCTTTCCAAATTGGGGAAAACAACTCATAGTTTGGAAAGATTTGGATTTCTTTCCAAAGCAGTGGGTGCTTTGAAATGGGGGGGAGGGTAGTTGTGCTTATAAATAACTTCATTTTGTTTATGAGTTCTATTTTCTGTAAAAGATACATCAGTTAGAATCATCATCTTACATATTTTGGCATGTAAAGTACTGTATCGAATTTTAAGGTTATAGTGGGAAGCTGAAGTCATTGTAGCTGTTGTCTTCCAGGTTTGCTGGGGCTGACTTTTTTAAGCCTGTAACAGTGGAATATGTTTTCTGGTTGAGTTTCTTGCATGTGTTTCTTAAAGCAGGACCAAGAGGAAACAGAATGTGAATTGTGGGGTTTAGCCGTGCCTCCTTTCTCTTTCCCCTCAAGTTCCCTGATAAAGTTAACTAAAAGAATGTCCCTTTTTTTTTAAAAAAAAAGGAAGATATGTTGTTGATCACTTGTACATCTGTGTAATATTAACGCTACCACCGGGTAGCATTTGCTTGGAGCTTTTAGAATAGAAACTGTCACATTAAGTTATTGGAAAGTAACATAAACCAAACCACAGTTGCCATCATGTCGATTCCTACTCATGGTGACCACGTATGTGCAGAGTAGAACTGTGCTCTGTAGGGTTTTCAGGATTGTGACCTTTCAGAAGCTTTTATTCCAAGGTGCCTCTAGGTGGCTTTGAACTGCCAGCCTTTCAGTAAATAGTGCGTAACAATTTGCACCATCTCCAGAAAGAGGCGTTAATTTTGTAGCTCTATGAAATCTTTTGTAATTCTGTGCTGACTTTTTCATCTGCTACTGTGGGATGATAGGTACAACTATGGAAATAGTGTCTTCGAAGATTGTTTTCAGAAACCATCCTAAACTGGGGTTTATTTAAGGGTGAAATTAAATCGGATTTTATTCCTGATAACTGAAATCTGTTTGGGATTAAACTTAAAAGAATAATCACTTAGAGCAACTCAGTCCATTTTGAGGTGCTTTTTATAGGTACTTTTGAAATATCTTAAATAACTAAGATTTGATATTAAAGTTTCACAATTCAACTCCATTTCCAGAGTTGGTAAATAAAATTTCATATGATATCATGTATTGGTATATGAAATATACATATATTTTAATTAAAGAACATGTTTTCTGCATGAGAATATTTTAATATCACAGCTCTTTAGTAAGTGCATTTTCTAGCAACAGGCTGAGTTTAGAGGTGAAGTACTAAATATTTGGCATTTCTTATTTAATAATCCAAGTTTTCTTTAGCAACTAATACAGCAATAAATTCCACTTATACTGGTGAAGAATGAGTAATTAAAATTTTTTTTAATTTTATTTATTTTGTTGTGAATATACACAGCAAAACATACACCAATTCAACAGTTTCTGTGTTTACTATTTAGTTACATTGATTACATTCTTCGAGTTGTGCAGCCATTCTCACCCTCCTTTTCTGAGTTGTTCCTCCCCCATTAGCATAAATTCACTGCCCCGTGAGGTTCCTATCTAATCTTTCAAGTTGCTGTTGTCACTTTGATCCCATATAGATGCTTCTTAAAAGAGCATAATGCTCAGGGCAGACATTTTTTACTAGTTAAGCTAAACTATTATTTGGTTTTAAGAAGACTTCAGGGGATATTTTTGGCTTAAGGTTTAAAGATTATCTCAGGGCAGTGGTTTCAGGGGTTCGTCCAACCTCCATGGCTTCAGGAAGTCTAGAGTCCATGAGAATTTGAAATTCTGTTCTGCATAAAATTGTTATTTTTAAAATTGAAAACGCTGTCTCCAAATGCTAATGCAAATTTAATTTTTAATTTTCAATTTTAGTGTAATCAACTATGAAATTATAATCATAGACGATGGAAGCCCAGATGGAACAAGGGAAGTTGCTGAACAGCTAGAGAAGATTTATGGGTCAGACAAAATTGTAAGTTATATCAGCATTTTTGTATCTCATGGATTGTGTTTATTTACAGGAAATACAAGAAATGAATAATGCTTAAACTTAATTTTTTTGTCTAGGAACTGAAAAGATAAAGAGCAGCTTATAAATTTAGTTTAGATGCATTTTCATTGTGCTTGAGGTTTTACATATTTTTGGTATATTGGGTCAGTGGTAATTTATGGCAAAATAGTGAACCTTTGTATAAAGTCTGTTTTTATAATTGATTCTGCAGATAAATTTTCTGAAAGGGCACAATTAAAGCATGTTACTGAATTGACTAGGAATACTATGGAACCAGATTGCAATTAGTAGTGTGTGTCTTTGTTAATTTTCCTTGGTCCCTTTCTCCAAGCAACTAACAGCTTGTAGCTGGATAGGGCTACTATTTGCTTTCACATGATGTTTGAGAGATACCACATCAAAATGTGTTGTAACCCAAAACTCAGATTCAAGTCTGATACCTCTTTTGGGTAAATGTTTTGGAACTTTGTTTGTCCTCCTGTTGTTCATAACTTTTCAGAGCACTTAGTATTTTCCTTTTCATTTTTATCTGTGTAACAGTTTTGTGGGGGTAGATTGACTTTCTGACTGTTCTGACTCCTGAACGTTAGATTTTCCCGCTGTACCTTCAAGCCTGTTGTTCTCATACAGAAGTAATGTAGGCAAATGTAGAGTTAATTTTATAATGGCTTTGTAAATTTTATTTTTGATCACTGGTTTGGATTTATCAAAAACATAGAGGCTTACCCCAGTTTAATTCATAAATGTTTGAATATACTTGTGAGTTCTACTTTGGATAATTCTTGGGCCAAAAACTTACAATTAAGTACAGATTTGATTAGAAAACATTCTAGGCATTGAGTATTTATTCGTAGTATGTATAGACCAGGGTTTCTCAACGTCAGAACTACTGACATTTTAGGCCATAGAATTCTATGTTGTGGGAGAGGTCCTGTGCATTGTAGGATGTTTAGTAGCATCCCTGGTTCCTACCTGGTAGCAACCCCTGTCCCTAGTGTGGCAGCCAAAAATGTCTCCAGATGTTGCCAGGTGTTCTCTGGGAGGCAAGATACCCCCCACCCCAATAGAGAACACTGGTATAGAGAAATCAAGAAAAAAGTCTCTTAAAAAAAAAAAAACAAAAAACCATTGCCATTGAGTCGATTCTGACTCATAGCAACCTGATAGGACAGAGTAGAACTGCCCCATTGAGTTTCCAAGGAGCGCCTGGTGGATTCGAACTACCAACCTTTTGGTTAGCAGCCGTAGCATTTAACCACTATGCCACCAGGGTTTCCAAAAGTCTCTTGGAGAACTTTTTTGATATTTGTGTTTCAAGAGATGTTAATTAAGCATCATAAAAAATAGTCACCGGGTCCAAATATTCTTGACTAATCCCAGTAATAGAAATAACTTCTGTTATTAATATTCTTAGAGGTAAATGTTGGTTGGAGGAAATCTTGGTTAGTGGGAGGAACTTAAGAGAAATGTGTTACTTGTATATTTAGTAAGTCTATCCTGTACTATAGATTATTTCAGTCTGTCTCACTGATAAGCAACTCACAGATACATCACACCTCACATCCTCTCGGAAAATCTTCTGACATATAGGAGTACCCACCTACTTGCCATCAAGTTGATTCTGACTCATGGCTGATTTTTCAGTAGATCACCAGGCCTTTCTTCTTAGGATCTCTGGGTGGACTCAAACCTCCAACCTTTTGGTTAGGAACTGCACATGTTAACCGTTTGCACCACCCAGGGACTCTTACAGGAATACAGAAGCAGACAAAAAGCTGACAAATTTTCAGCATTCTAGTGGTGGCTTCCAGTAATACAAGGTTCATGTTTTTGGCCATTTCCTGAGTTTTTCTTATAAAAGCCCCAGGCCGAGACCACTGATTTACATTGGTTAAATATAGGATACTCTTGAGTTATGGGCTACTGTTTAATCTGGGAACATCAAACTGACAATATTTTGAATAATTTTGTCATGGAACCTAAGTCTTGAGGTATGATTGATTGATTCATTGATTTTAGGGAATGCCTTCTTCTAGATTGACTTTCCCAAATTCTAAAACAACACTGTCCTTGGGTTCCATTTTTCCCATCAACCTGATGAAGTTCAAAATTATAATAAAAGATTAACATTCACCATCATGATTTCCCTTTAGTAGCAAACAAAAATTCCTTATTTATTCATCATTTTACATAAGTCTTCAGCTAAGAAAGGCTAATTGTACTCCTATTTTGCAGCTGTTCACTCATCAGTGAGGCTCAATTTTTTTAATGTTTACCTTTTAATCATTGAAACTAGAAAATGCCTTTTTTTTTTTTTTTTAAAGCAGTGCCAGGAATGCAACTTATGTGCTTGTAAGTGACATGTGTGTTTAGTTGAGGGGAAGGATAGAGAAAAATGACTGTGAAAACCATCTTAGAATAACTTAAAGTATTAAGTGCAGATGCTTTGTCAGCTGGCCTTTAATCTGGCCAAAATGAATGTTTCAGGAAAAAGCCATAGTAAAAGATACACACATAACTTTTTTTAAATCTTTGTAGAGGAGGAAACTGAGGCAATAAGTTAAATCACTTTTGAAGGTTGTAACTGTTGTTATTAAGTACTGTTGAGTTGGTTTCGACTCATTGGGACCCCATGTCCAACAGAAAGAAACACTGCCTGTTCTTCTGCCATCCTCACAATCTTTGCTATGTTTGAGCCCATTGTTGCAGCCACTGTGTCAGTCCATCTTGTTAAGGGTCTTCCTCTCTTTCACTGACCCTCTGCTTTACCAAGCATGATGTCCTTCTCCAGGGACTGCTCCCTCCTGATAACATGTCCGAAGTTTGTGAGATGAAGTTTTGCCATCCTAGCTTCTAAGGAGCATTCTGGCTGTACTTCTTCCAAGACAGATTGGTTCGTTCTTCTGGCAGTGCATGGTATATTCAATATTCTTCGCCAGCACCATAGTTCAAAGGTGTCAGTTCTTTTTCGGTCTTCCTTATTGATTGTCCAGCTTTTGCATGCATATGAGGCAATAGAAAATACCATGGCTTGGGTCAGGCACATCTTAGTCCTCAAGGTGACGTCTTTACTTCTTAACACTTTAAAGAGGTCTTCTGCAATAGATTTGCCTAGTGTAGTATCACGTTTGATTTCTGGACTGCTGTTTCCATGGGCATTGTTTCCAAGTAAAATTAAATCCTTGACAACTTCAGTATTTTCTTCGTTTATCATGATGTTGCTCACTGGTCCAGTTGTGAAGATTTTTGTTTTCTTTATGTTGAGGTGTAATCCATACTGAAGGCTGTAGTCTTTGATCTTCATCAGTAAATGCTTCAAGTTCTCTTCATTTTCAGCAAGCAAGATTGTATCATCTGCATATCACAGGTGACAGAGCTAATAAATAAGTGGTAGAAGTGGGACCAAAATAAAACTGGAGGCACATATTCTGAGCTGTTAATAGTGGTTATAGTGCGGGAGGATCCGAGATTGTGGAAGACTTCAACTTTTGCGTGTTGAATGCTTCTGTTGTGTTTGATTTAGTGGTTTGTGTCATCTCCCAAACTAAGATCAGATTAAATCACCTACATTTTGTCATAATTTTATAGTTGAGTATTTTAAAAAATTGTTCTGATGATAAAAAGTAATACATGTTCATTATTTTTAAAACATAACAACTCTAAGGTAGATTTGACTACATAAAAGCATTAAACTTCTGTCCATCCTAAAAAATAAAAGTAGTGTCTGTAACAAAAAATGTGTACCCCCAAGGAAATAAACAGATAATTCATAAAAGAACTAAAAACGGCCAAAAACCATTGCTGACTCATAGCGACCCTATAGGACAGAGTAGAGCTGCCCTATAGGGTTTCCAAGGAGTGGCTTGGTGAATTCAAACTGCCAACCTTTTGATTAGCAGGCGAGCTCTTAACCACTGTGCCACCAAGGCTGGGGGCGGGGGGGGGGATGAACCTCACTGATAAGTGAACAGTTGCAAAATAGAGGAGTATGATTAGTCTTTCTTAGCTGAAGGTTTATTTTTACTATCTTCTCTTCTTTTTTCTTTTCAAGCAAAAATACCCAGTGGTTTTGAAGAGTATAGTAAAATGGGTCCATTCGAATACTATTGTTGATCATAGCATAAATTGTACCAGTTTTCTGAGATGTCATCTACCAGTATTCTCATGACCTTCAAAAATGTTCATACCTTTGATGTAATAAGTGTAAAAAGCAGGCTATAAAACTCTATATGTAGTACAGTCTCCATTCTGTTAAGTACATTCAGGAATATTTTTTGTTAGTTATGTCTTTTTTCAAGATTTTCTATGATAAAATTTTTTTACAAAATAAATTTCTTGTCAAACATTATCGTATAATCACATGAAGTACTTTATATGCAGTTGTGGTAAGCATGCTGGAAGAGTATGTGCCAGGCACTCTTCCAAGCACTTTACTGCTTATTCTTCATGACAGCGCTATGAGGTCAACTTTGTTGTACCTTTGACATGATCAGGATCCCACAGCACAAAGCAGTGTGGCTCCCAAGCCCGTGCTCCTACCTACTGTGCTGTCCTGCTTCACATAGAAAAGGGCAATCAGATTGATATGAGGAGGGAAAAGAGGGGAGGGGAGGGATGAGACTAAGGATCTAAAAGTAAAGGATGTTAGAAATTTGAACTTTTTTGTACCTAAGAAGTAAACAGGTATGGCGCAGTGGTTAAAAGCTATGGCTGCTAACCAAAAGGTCAGCAGTTCGAATCCACCAGCTGCTCCTTGGAAACCCTCTGGGGCAGTTCTGCTCTGTCCTGTAGAGTCTCTATGAATCAGAATCGACTCAATGGCAACGGTTTTTTTAATTCTTGTTATAAAATGTATATATTACCAGTATAGCTGAAGTTGCCTTTGATGAGCATTTCCTGATCCTCATCCTAGTCCCTTCCCTGGTGGAGACCCTGGTCAACAGTGTGGTGTGTTCCCTCAG